GAATGAGTTAAGCGCTCAGTAAAAATGCACCCTCTCTAGAAAGCAATTTGACCATATCATTGATGAAATCTGTTCCTATCTTTTAATTCTCTAATGGCAGCTCTGGAACCCATCCTCAAGAAGTGCAGATTGGAATAATTAGCAGAAACCTGGAAACTACCTGAATGTCTAACACTGAGAGACGGACCAAATACCAGGCTTCCAAAAGTTCATGGAAAAATGGAATTAGTAATGGAATTTTCCCATGAACTTCTGTCAGGTCCCCTTGAATGCTATGTCTGCAAGAAGGAATAAATTAAGAAGGCATTAGATATGGTTTTGGACATAAACTGAAGACATAAAGGAAACACTTTGAAATATTGACAATAGTTAAATCTTCAAGATAGATATTTTGTACTAGCCTCTTCAAATTTCAACGAATGAAACATAATTTTTTATAATCACAAACACACCTACAAATCTTCAGAAAATAACAGATGTGCAGAGCTTAAAGTGTGTGACTGCTCGGACTGATCTGTGATTGGTGCTCACAGCATCTCTGCAGGAGGGAGATATGCAGACGTACCCTCCCTTACAACCCTGGCACCCTGCGGGGCAGTCACTCCACTACTAACTACCCTGTTTCTCCGAAAATAAGACAGTGTCTTATATTAATTTTTGCTCCCAAAGATGCGCTAGGTCTTATTTTCAGGGAATGTCTTACTTTTCCATGAAGAAGAATAAGGTGCACATTTATTGTTTATTGTTTTATTAAAAGAGACCTCGCACTTCCTGTCTGCTCCGTCTGCGCTGCGGCCAACAGTAAGCTGTGCAGCGGCACTCGCCGCTACGGTCCAGAGTCACGGTAGCTTGGGGGGACCTTATTTTTGGGGGATGCCTTATATTTCAGCGAGAGGCAAAACTATAAGTAGGTCTTATTTGGGGGGGATGTCTTACTTTCGGGGACACAGAGATGCCTAGGAAGAAAGACGTGGTGCTCGACTGCACACAGGCACTGCCACTGGCCCTGACAATTCTCTGCGGCACAGTGCTATTGACACACCAGGGTCAACTCTGCAGCAACTAATGTCAAAATCCTACAGCTTCTATAAAACTTACATCATTCTGATAAATCCCAGGAAATGTTTCTAGTAACTAACAGCACTATAATCCATCTAAGAGTCCCAGTTAAAAAGGAAGATTACCCAACATACATTACACACATATGGCACATGATTTCTTATGCAATAACTGCCAGAATGCTCAGGAATGGCAACTTCATTTCACAGTAGCTCATTAGAAAATTCAGGACTAGGAATATTTTTTTTTCTTTCTTTTTTTAATCAATTTATTGGGGCTCATAAAATTCATCACAATACATAGATCAATTGTGTAGAGCACAGCTATACATTTGTTGCCCCCATCATTCCCAAAATTCGCTTGCCTCTTGGGTTCCCGGAATCAGCTCATTTTCCTTTTTCCCCCCTCCCCCTCCTTCCTCGGCCCCCCGAATATTTCTTTTTTTAAATACCCAAAGGAAAGCACAAATTAGGTCAGGTCTCTTTATATTTTAATAAATTAGAGAAGCTGCTGTTTCCGGTTTAAAACAAAAAACAACACACACTCTAAGAAGACAGAGCCTCTGCGGTCTTCCAGAACTGGACCAAGTTAAAAGTACCTCAGCTGTGCAAACACTTTGGGTAAGGCAACTATGAAATCTTAACTTTTTAGGGAGAAGATGGAGCAACATCTTAAGTCGAATATTACAAAAAGGTTTTTGTGCATGAGAAGTTATCTGCTTACTTTGATAAATGAATAAGCTTAGAAAATTAGACATAAAAGAGTGTTCATGGAATTTTTCCATGAACTTTTGAAACCAGTTTCCATGAACTTTTCAAAGTCCCCTGATAGTGTTCAACACCCATCTGCATTTCTCTGTAAGTCAAACACATTAGACAAACATATATGTTGTCTCTATATGTTTAAAAAACTCTACAAAAAAGAGTTGCTTTACTTTTTTTTCTTAAAGGTAAGGCCAAATTTAGTATTTACGATAGATATACTGGTTCTATCTGAAAATCAATCAAATCACTTCAATATATTCTAAAGGAATCACTGATTAGAGTCTGTGGTTGAAAATTTTTAAAAAAATCATTTAGTTCACTGAGACCTGGGGTTTTTTGTTTGTTTGTTTTTTAATCTTAGAGGCCACTCAGCTCAACAACTCACTGTTGACTGGATTCTGACTCACAACAACCTTAGAAGTGAGTTTCCGAGACTGTAACTCTTCATGGTAAAGGCTTTATCTTGTTTTTGCGTGAGCACTTGCAAAGACACAGCCAGATTTTTAAACGGGACCTAACACACCATTTAGGAGCCATGGTGAGGAAGTAACCTAAATGTTGGGCTGTTAAGGGTGGTAGTGCAAACCCACCAGCTGCTCTGGAGAAGGATGAGCGTACCTCCTCCCATAAAGATTTACGGTCTTGGAAACCCTATGGACAGTTCCACTCTGTCCCATTGGGCTGCTGAGTCGGATCAATTTGATGACAGGGTGTTGAATATACACTTCTAATGAAAATAGCATACACTTTAATATTAAGATAATATTGAATAAAATGATTTTAAAAAAGATAATATTGAAATTACTGGCTTTCTTTAGGTTCAACAGATTTCTAGTTTTTTTTTTAAAAATAAGCTCAATGTAAAAATTTCAAAAGGAAGGGAGACCTGGTGGAGGGCATGATTTAATTATTTGCCATAATCCATAAATCTACTTCTGTAGCCTACATTTGGATACAGACACGCCTCTAAATAAACTTCAAAACACTGTTTCTGCATTAAAGAGCTGTACTCACTACCAATAAAAGGTGTTGTTCATACAGCGACCCCATGTTCAGCAGAACAAAACACTGCAAGGTCCCACCCCAT